GAGTCTCCTCTTCATGCAGCAGACACTCGCCGAGCACCTACTGTGCGCCGGCTGCGCCCGGCTGCGCGGAAACAGCAGTGAGCCCGCGCCAGCGCTCCTCCCCGGGAAGCGCAATCCCTCCCTTCCCATGAGGAGAAACCGTCCGGGGCAGGGCGGGGGAGGGTCTGGTTTCCGTTATTTGGTCGTCTGAAACATGTCACTGGGAAGGCCCCTCAGAGGCGCAGGCCCACTGTGGACCCGGTGCCCGGTGGGAGGAGGTGCGGGGGGCGGGCGTTCGCTGTGGGTCTGCGCAGAGAACTCTTGGGTGACTCAGGGGCTGGTTCACACGTCACGGAAGGCTTCGAGTAGAGCTGGGTCGTCTCAGAATGTCCCTCACGCCAGGGAAGACGTCCCACATGTGACTTAGGGGTTCCCCTGTGGAAGCAGCAAAGATGCTCATTCTGGGTTTCCTGCCAGAGGCCTGGGATCCTCGTCTGTCTCCTGCGTCCTGGAATGTCAGCACAGGCCGGACCTTCAGGCCACCCAGCCCAGCCCCCTCTGCAGAAGGGGAGCCTGAGGCCACAAGATGACACGGGCCTTGCCCAGGCTCACAGGGGCCGTTAGTGACGGGACGGGGACCACAGCCCAGATCTGACTCCAGGCAGCCTCCCTCCTGGCCTGGCGTCAGACCCTCTCCGTGGAGGAGCCTGAGCATCCTGGGTGCTGAATAAAAGCTCCTTGAACAGAACCGCCGAGCAGGGTGCCGCCCTTCTCCTCTGCTTCAGTTTCCCAAAGGTTCAGAATACACCCCCCATCAGACCCGAGTCCGGCTGGTGATGGGAAAACCTCTCCAACCGTGGAGGAAGCCTTCTCCTTCCATACAGAGATTCCATCTCAGGGCCTGGGGAGCGGCTCCGCTGTGTGGCGTTGCAGACACTCCATGGTAGCGACATGTCAGAATGTACTTTATACTCTTCTACGATGGATGTTACGTTGTCCCCGTCCTCGGGCTGGGTGGATGGCCCTGCGCATCCGCTGTCCTGCTCAGAGGCACCATGCCCACCGGCAGTGGCCTTGCTAGGCAGAGGCCGTGTGCGCGTTCACTCATGTGGCTATTACAGTGTTTCCTCCTGGATGTCGTGGCATTCAGGTTCCCCAGAACCCCGGACGCAGGCAGGAAGGCGGCTCTACCCTGAGTTTGCAGGTGCTGTCGTAGGAGACACAAGTTCCCGATGGCGCCCTGCCCGGCCATCCCGGCCAGGAGGTGCTCAGCGTGGCTCAGAGCTGCCGCCGCCCTAGGGGCTCAGCGCCTCGGCCCTGCCGGCGGCCCCACGGGTGCCCTGGTGAGACGGGGGAGGCGGCGGGGCCAGGGAGCGGCAGCTGTGCCAGGTGCTGTCTCCTCACCTGCCATTTTCTCCTGGACCCAGTGCTGTGGGGGAGGGGCCAGCGCTGCCCCTTTTACAGATGAGGACACTGAGGCTCAGAGAGGGACCTGACCTGAGAGCAGAGACGAGAGCCAAGCTTTCAACCCCGCCAGCCTGACCCGAAGCCCGGACTCTGCAACTCGCAGCCGTGCCGGCCAGGGCGTGGGCAGAGGCTGCAGCCTTCTCCGTCTGAGCCCTGCGTCTGCGGCTCTGCTGCAATGAGCTTGAGAAACAGCGCAGGTCCTGCGAGGGCGGGCGGGGCTGCAAACCCCTCGGGAAGGTCCTGCAGCCGCCACGTGATACACGGGAGCTGCTCCCGTGGACCCTGCTGGCAGGTGGAGCCCTCGGGGCCCCTTCCCTGCAGCACCGGGGAGCGGGTCCCTCTGCAGCCGCAGCCGGCCGCCCACTGCTGGCGCTGGCACTAAGGACGAGGAGGTGAGGCCTGTCCTAGAGGGGCCCGTGGGGGTGAGAGTTTACATTCTCCCCTGGGCTGCCAGGAGCCACCGTCCCTGTTTCTGGCCACAGGACACCCAGGCCTGGCCCCCAGGTGGGGGCTTCTCCCCAGCAGTGTGTAAGTCCGGATGTCAGAGGGAGAAGGCGGGGGTCGTGTCAGGGCACTTGCTCTGCTGACAGATGTGAAGGCTTGGGAGGTCAAGACATGCCCACTGGGACACATGGGGACAAGGACACAGTGCTGTCATTTCAGCCTCGGTTTTCTCATCTGTAAAACGGTGACGATCATGGACTCCTGTAGGAGAGTGGAAAGGGTGTGAGGTCCTCTCTGTAGATCACTGGGCACATCATAGGCACCCCCAAATCTAGGGGTCCTTTCAAGGTTGTGTGACCTTGGCGACCCGGCTCCCTTTGCTGAGCCTCAGTTTCCCCACATGTAGAATGTGGACGATTGTCCCAAACCTTCCGGATGTCACGAGGGTACAGTGAGCCGGGGAGAGAAGAGACCTCAGTGAGCGGTGGGGGCATCTTCCCGAGGTTGTGTGGTCTTGGGCTGGTCTTGGCTTCCCTCGAGTCCTCAGTTTCCCCATCTGTGACATGGTGACGGTCACCCTTGGGGGTTCTGTGGGGACTGGAGGGGATGTGCGCAGAGCCCCGGGTCGTGACGTTGGGGTCATTATGAGCATCAATGGCGCCATGGCTAGGAGAACGGGCTGGAGCCCAAAGCCTGGGCCACGCCCCAGCTCTGCCCCCGCCCAGCCCGTGACCTCAGAGGAGGCCCTGCACCACAGTGGGCCTCGTGTCCTCACCTGTGGGGGACAATAGCGACCCCACAGAGCAGGGCAGGGCCCGAACGAGTCAAATCCATCAAGTGCTCAGGGCAGCGCCCGGCGAGCAGTAAACGTTCAGTGACTGTGCGCCACGTTACGCCGGAGCCCTGAGACTGAGACGGGTCCCCTTCCTCTCCAGGCCTCGAGGATAACGGGACGGGTCGTGGTCGGGTGGCTGTCACTCTGGGCTGCTCTTTAGAATCACCTGGGAAACTGAACGAAAACAATCCCCGGACTCAGGCTCTACCCTAGAAACGTCAACGTAGTTGGTGTGGCAGGGCCCGGGCATCTGGCGTTTTAGTGACTCCAAAGACTGACACGCAGCCAGGGCTGAGGACCCCTGAGAGAGGCCCTGAGGTCACAGAGGACAAGCCGGGCCCCCTTCCCAGAACACATGTCCTCCATGGTGCCAGGTGTGAGAACAGCTGTTCCAGGTGTGGGGCTGCAGAACTGCACGTGCTGGGACAGCTCTTTGGAGGCCACGGCGGCCTGGCCAGGACCCCCGCGGAGCAGGCCCGGAGAGGGAGCCCGGACGAAAGTCCTGCTCGGACCCAGCCTCGGTGCTGGGGAACCTGCCCGCCTTGGAAATGCCCGAGTCCACACAGGCGCTGGAATCCCGGCACGTGCTCCCGGTTCAGCCCCGGAGCCTCCCTGCCGCGACACGGCAGGGTGTCCCTGAGGACTCTGTTCCCTCCTCCCTCCAAAATGCGTCCGGCTCGTGTCAATGGGATCTTGTCCGTGTTTTGACAGCCAATTGGCCAACCTCGTTTCCCGAGGGGATTGTTCAGGAAATGGGGGAGACTCTCACGCCCTGGTTGACCTCCAGCAGGGCGAGTACAATCTGCCCGAACCTGCTGACGCCGCTGTCAAGCCTCAGCCTTAATTACTTCATTTCCTTTCACACCGTTACAGGAATATTTGTGGAAAGAATGAAAAATATAGAATAAATTCATAAATACCCAAAGGGAAAACCCTGGATATATGTAAAGTCTAGGTGAAAGGTAGCTTGTGCTTGCTTATTTTTGTGAAGCATCTTCTGTGATTTATCCAGAGCAAAACTGCCTCCATTGCCTCAGTTAGTCCTCCCTGCACCCGGGGAAGGAGAAATGCTGCTGTCCCATTTCACAGGCCACCCCTCTCATGGGCTGGCCAGCTGGTGCCAGCTCTCACGGCAGTGCCACTTTGCCACTTGTTCCTGGCGCTGACTTCTATGATCACTCTCTGGGGTTGGGAGGCGTCCGGGGAGGCCGGCTAGGAACAGTTAATACCAAGGGTGAGACCAATCAGTAACCTTGTTCCCGTGCCAAGAGGGGTGGAAATCACCCTGTGCAGAGAGGGCTTTGAACTCAGGCCTGGAACTCCCTCTGGGCCCTGCCCCTCCTCCCTGTGTGTCCTCGCTAGTCTCTCCCCTCTGGGAGCCTTTGCCCCCTGCTGTGTAGAGTGAGGACAAGGACACCCCCCACCAGCGTTATCAGAAGCACTAAGAAATACCGTCCCTGAAGGTCCTTGAAGGCGTCCCACACTTACCGTTCGTGACGGTCATTGCAATCATGTCTCCTGTTTGTAAATGCTCCTTTTTAGCCAAACCCTCCGTCCCTGTGGTCACGGGCCCTGCGGCAAGGGTCACAGCTGACCAGACGGTGAACTTCACCTGCGAGTCCCATGGCTTCTCCCCACGAGACGTCACCCTGAGGTGGTTCAAAAACGGCAATGAGCTCCCAGACGCCCAGACCGACGTGGACCCTGAAGGAAAGCGCGTCTCCTACCGCGTGCGCAGCACGGCCAGGGTGGCGCTGAGCCCCAGAGACGTCCACTCGCAGGTCATCTGCGAGGTGGCCCACAGCACCTTGCGGGGGGCCCCTCTCCGCGGGACTGCCAACTTGTCTGAGACCATCCGAGGTAGAGCCCCGCCCAGCCCCCGCCCTCACCTGCCCGCCAGGCCTGCTCCCCGCCCAGCTCTTGCTCGGGGCTTAAACTGCCTGGACCCTAATTCCCACCTTCCCGCCCACCCACCACGTGCCTGGGTGTGCCGCTCTCTTACTCTCGCTCTGACGGCGCCTGCAGGTGAACGCCCACCCGCCTGGCAGGTGCGTTTGTCTCACCAATAGCAGCTGCAGTTACCGAGCGCCGGCTGTGAGCCAGGCCCCGTGCGTTTGGCAATTTCATCTATTTTGCCACAGTTGCGACATTCTGACTGCGTGCCTGCCGGGTTGTGCGTGTCGATTTCACTCATTATCACCCTAATGTTGCTACCAGTCCTTGACCACCTACTGTGTGCCCAGCATTGAACTTAGTACTTTCACTCATATGCAGAGAGTACCTTCCATGTTTGAGCACCTACTGCATGCCGGCCACTGTCCCGGGGGGTGCCCGGGCCCTGGTGGTGGGAGCTGGGTCACCCAGCCCGTCCCCTGTGGTCTGCTTGTGCCGTGAGGTCAGCGCTTCTGCCCTGTGCTGTTTCAGTTCCGCCCACCTTGGAGGTCACCCAACAGCCCACGATGGCAGGGAGCCCAGTGAACATCACCTGCCGGGTGACAAGGTTCTACCCCCGGAGCCTACAGCTGACCTGGTTGGAGAACGGAAACGTGTCCCGAACAGAAACGGCCTCGACCCCCATAGAGAACAAGGACGGGACCTACAGCTGGACCAGCCGGCTCGTGTTGAACTCGTCCGCCCACAGGGAGGACGTGAAGCTCACCTGCCAGGTGGAGCATGACGGGCAGCCGCCGGTCAGCAGAAGCCACATCCTGGTGGTCTCCACCCACCAGAAGGACCAGGGCGCAGGTACCACCCCCGATGAGGTTACAAATTTCTAAATATTATCTTTTTTTAATGTAAAAAGTAGTATTTATGCTTGTTATAAAATAATCTGGAAGTCTATAAATATAAATTTATATTTATATAAATATAGCAGAATTTTAAAGTTATCTCATCTCTACAAATCCCACATTCCAAGAGTCACCACTGCTAAGAGTCTGGTGCACACTTTGGTAGATCTTTTGACTTAAATATATATTACAAGAGGAAAGAAGGGAGGGAGGGAGATTACCCTTTCATGGCGTCCTGATTCTTGCCTTCTTCACCTGAGAGTTTTAGGAGTTTAAGACAGTTCAGTTAAAATGATTAAGACCTGTCACGGCACGGGCCTCCTCTGTGTCCTCACCTGTGATAATGGACTAGCAGTGGTCACAACTGCTCCCTGCACATTTACTGCATGCAAATAAATGTCTGTTCATCTATGACCTTTCCTGCTCCAGCCACTTAATGAGTTTGGAGTTTTGCAGGAAAAACCAGGACTTGGGGAGCAATGGGGGGTGTTGTTGAAGGCCTGCCATTAGACCAGGTGATTGGTCTAAACTAGGGTCCTTAGAAGCCAAAGAGGGGCCAAGCAGGGCTGCACTTCTCCTGAGGCATTTAGGGGGCAATCCGCATCCTTGCCTTTTCGAGCTTCCAGAGGCTTCTGGCATTCCTTGGTGAATACCCCCTCATCACACCGACCTCTGCTCTATCCTCCCATCTCCTTATTTGCCTAACTCTCCTATCTCCCTCCTTGGCTTCTAAGGACCCTTGTGGTTACATCGGACACACTCGGATAATCCAGCATAAGCTCCCATCACACCTTCACTGTCCCATTTGCCATGTAAGGTAACACAGTCACGGGTTTCAGGGCTTTTGTGCCAACCCTTTTAAGTCAGGTGCACTGCAAAATCCCTTGCTAGCATCTGTGCTTCGATCTGCAGGACATTTTCCCAGTATTCTCAGCTTTAGGGTGGATTTGATATTGCTGGTGGTGTTTCTAAATACCCCCCAGTTAGGACCCTGGCTAGCTGCCCTCTGTGTTCCCTGCACTGTTTCTTGTGGCTGGGCGATGACAGGATGGTGGCCTCATGAGAGAGCGTGCACCAGGCTTTGCAGATCGTTCCCTTTTGACTCACAGTTATTTTGCTGTCTGGCATTCTCTCCGCAAGTAATGCCAAATACCTGCTTTTTATAGACTTTTCCTCTTTTCCCTTCTTGTTTGGGGAGGACACTTTTAGAGATAAGGAGCTCTGCTACTGCCATTGCCCTCAGCAACCCAGAAGTTGACTGAGGATCTTTGAGTGCTTTAACCCAAATACCTCCTCCCGCATCTCAGGGTCCTACAGCTTCCCCATCAGGGCCCCACTCTGGCGTGGCGGCCCACAAGTTCAGAAACCAACGTGCTTTGCAGCACTGCTCCCCTTATAATGATGTGCAATGCAGGACCCAATTCTCTGTTCTTTCTGCCCTCTGGCCCCAGGAGATGAGACCTTACAGTGCCACCAGGAAGTCCTCTGGCTTTCACGCTAAACCTGAACTCCACATCAGTCACTCGACGCCTCGTTGTCTCTCTCCAAAGTATTGGTGCCCAATGACAGCCATCCAATTCCATAGTCCTTATGACTACCATGTTATAAAACGAGCAACCATTCGTTTTCCAGTGCCTGATGCCAAGGGATTCCTTTCCTGTGGTTACATCCTCCCGGTTCTCTGCCAGTAAGAGTTCTATCACCTGCACCACCAGCCACCACAGGCCAGGCCTGCCTGGGCTCCACGCCCCAGCAGCCCTGGGGCCTCACTGCCAGCCATCAGATGAGGGAGCAGGTTGCAAACTTGCATTTTAGAGTCTGCTCCCCAGACTGCTCCCCGAGATCCATTTCCCTGGGAGGCGGACCCTGAGATGGACACAGGAAACCAGAAGCATCTTAGAGTGCCGTCGGGGTCAGCGTGTCTGAGGGTGTCATGAGACAGGACCGGAGGAGGAAGATGCTGGGCCACCCAGGCATTACAAGAACTCAGCTGCTTCCTTTAGAGTTGTTTTAAATTGAGAGGAGGGGCTGGGCCTTCTACTTCCAATTCGGCCAGTCTTTGATGGGTTCGCCCCCTAACAGGAAAGCACTTGGGTAGAGCAGTCCTCATCAAGGAGGAGAAAGTCTCAGAAAACCCCTCAGCTGAGAACTGCCAGTGTCATCCCTGCAGCAGCCACAGGTGCTCAGGTCTCCACTCCTCCCTTAAGGACCCACCACAGCTATTTTATTTATAAAAAACATATTTTAATATATTTGTTTAATTGCAACAACAAAAACTGCTCATTGTGAAAGTGCAAAGAATCCAAACATGTGTTTCCCCAGAGCTGTGTGCAACAGATGACTGCAGAGACACGTGCAGTGGGTGAGGTGGACCAGATGGTGCCGGGGGCTCTCCTGACTCTGCCACTCCCTGGACTCACTGGGGTGTTTTCCAGCCAGCAGGATTCACTGGGTCCCGCCCCTGAGGGATCCCCCAGCTCCTGAGAACATGAGGCCATCCCCTGACCCCTGGGGCTAAGCAGGATATCTGTGAAGCCCTCCCCTCCCCTGTGACACTGTCCCCATGCATGCCCTTTCATCCCTGCATGCCCTGCATGCCCTTTCATCATCATTCCTATGACCCTAGGAGGTTGCACTTGTCTTGTGCCAAATGACCCGGTCTTAGGGATCATCCTAAGGCACACCAGTGATGGGCTTCCCTAGGTTTGGAGCCCACTAATCTTGTGACCCTCCCTACCCTCTCTGGGCCTCAGTTTCCCACCAGGAGGAGGTAATCATCCCTGTCCCCAACGTTGTGAGGTCCACGCTTGTGCATCTCTGAGTACACATCCTCCCCAGCCCTTCCCTCCAGGGGGACGACCTGGCAGGCTGGGACAGGCTGAGCGAGAATGTGGAGCCTCTCCACCCTGGCTTCTTCCTCGGGCTGCAGTAGGGCAGGATGCAGGTTCAAAAGTTCAGAGAACAGATGGGCCCAGGTGGCCTCAGATGGGGTAAGTGGAGGCCCCTGGGATCGACTCCTGGGAAGCCCCTCTCATGGCTCCTTCTGTGCCCTGATTTCCAGGCTCAGCAACATCTCCTGCAACCCTCCTCATAGCTTTCCTCCTGGGCCCCAAGGTGCTGCTGGTGGTTGGTGTTACTGCCGTCTGTGTCCACAGGAAGCAGAGGGCCTGACCGTAAGTGTGCGTGGGCGGGGAGGGGAGGGCAAGCCAGGGCTGCCCCGGTGGGCAAGGCCGGCAGGGCCAGGCCACATGCCATGCAGCAGCAGGTCAGTGGACTTCAGAGAAGATGACACACTCCCTCAGTGCCTGCAGGAGTCTCATGGAACCCTGTAAGAGGCTTCCAACTGCCAGGAAGTACGTGGGTGCTGCAGGGGACAGGCTACATCTAGGGTGCTCAGAGGGCATCCCCAGTGCCCTAGGGTCCCATGGAGGACGTGGGCAGAGGGGGCTGGATGAGGGCAGCTGAGTGGCTGCCTCCCCTGCGGGCCATCTCTAGGTTACTGGAACGTCGGGATCTGTGGGGCCAAAGGTGTCCCCATTGCAGAGTAATGTTGAGAAGCCCCAGGCGGGCAGCTCAGAGGGCTGTTCCTGCTCTCACCCTCCATGTGCCTGAGCGGAAGGGGCTCAGGAAGGGGACTCAGGACTCGAGGACCAGGGCTGAGCTGGCAGAGCCCCATCTCAGGGCCTCACATCCACCTGTGACAGGCATCCCAGGAGGGGGCCAGCACCAGGGACATAACAGGCTCTCAGGAATGACGAGCAGACGATTAAATGTGGACGTTTCCCTCAGCACCTTCCTTCCTCCCCTGCCACGTGGGACCCTCCGTCTCTGCTGTCTCCTTCCTTCCTTGCAGGGCTCAGCCAGAGAGAAGGAGCCGGAGAGAACCTGCCTCCGACTTGGCTCCAAATGCCTCCCCTCCCAGGACCTCCACCTGCCCTCAGCCTCCTGTATCGGCATTGTCAGTCCCTGATGCCTCCAGGGCCAGGTTTTCTTTCGTGGGCCTGAACAGGGGCCATGAGATCAGGCAGAGGGGCTGACTCGGGACACCTCCCTAGAATGGGAGAAACAAGGCAAAGCTAAGCGCCTTGGGACCTCTCTCAGCCACTGCCTCAGGACTGGCCGTGAACTGCAGACTCCCTTCCAGGCTGTCTGGATCCCAGCCTGCCCCACTCCCCAGCCATGCTGAACTTCTCCAGTGTCTCCTGAATACAAATGAGCCCCCATCCCGGTTCAAGAAGAAAAAATTATTCTCCTTCCTCTTTGTCTAAATGTCCTACTCCTCAAACCGAGAAAGAAGTTTTCCCTCCTCTCTCTGTGATGGGAGCAGGAGGAGCCATGAGAGGGGCTACCCAGGAGTCGGTCCCAGCTCATCCATCTCCCTGCGTCCTTCCAGCCCTGTCACTCATGGCAGAAATGCTGTGACAGTCTGAAAAACCTTGGAATCCCTTTTGATTTCTCTGTTCTTAACACCCCGTATTCAATTCTGCCTTCAAAATGCATATGTCCCCTGGTGAAATGGTAAATGTTTAACAATTGACTTTGAAAGCGGAGGAAAACAGCCTGATTTGTGGTGCTTCTCAATTTCTGCAGTGTAAATACTCCCAATGTGGTCAATTTCAAGTTACCAACAGTTTAACAACCAGACTGCAAAACTGACATTTTACAACAGCCCAAGTCTGCTCCAGCACACCTCTGTTACATCCATAACCTGCACACTTCTTACCCCAGACCCCTTCCTGTCCCAGCCAACATCACCTCTTCCTGAACCATTGCTGTAGCCTCTAACCGGCCTCCTTGTTTCAACCACAGCAATTCTTTGAAAAAGTAAGTCAAATTATCACTCCTCTGCTACTCCCCAACATAGCTGCATGGCTCCCTCCCTCCCTTCTTTCAAGTCTCTGCTCAATGTCACTTTATTAAAGGCTTTTTTCGCACACCACCTTATATGAAATATTAATTCCCTTCTTTCTCCCTGACATACCAATTCCTCTTAACCTGATTTTTTTCTTAGCATTTATTGCCATTTGTACTATACTGAACACAAGCTGTCCTTGCTTTGCATGGCAGGGCAGGATTGTAAAAAGGACTGCAGAGCTGGGCACAGTGGCTCACGCCCATAGTCCCAGCTACTCAGGAGGCTGAGGCCGGAGGATCGCTTGAGCCCAGCAGTTAGTTCAAGCCCAGCCTGGGCATCATGGTGACACCCCATCTCTAAAAAAACAAAAAAGACTGTGCAAACTGAAACCCTTGAAAGCAATCTCCATGTCAATGAGAAAAATAATGATTGTTCTGGTGACCTTTATAATGTTTTATCATTAGAGACTCTCATACTGTCAGTTACAAATGTATAGGGCAATGAAAAATAAAATAAAATGAATATTTAGTACACCGTAATTTGAAACATTGAAAACATTGACAGATAAAGTGTTTCATTTCTTTATAAAACCTATCAAGAGTAGTTAGAACAGTGTTTGGCTTCTTGACGACAGAAAAAAAAAAAATTCTGCCAAAATATTTAAAGAGATTTATCCTGAGCCATTATGGATGACTGCAACGTGGGGATACACAAACCCAAGAAGCCCGGAGTAAGTGGTCCCGAGGCAGTCAGATTACAGTTTGATTTCATACATTCCAGGCAGACAGGAGTTATAGGCAAAGACATAAATCAATACATGCAAGGCATGTATTGATTTGGCCTGAAAAGGCAGGATATCTTGAAGTGGGGGGCTTACAAGTCACAGGTGGATTTAGAGGTTCTTTAATTGGCAATTGGTTGAGAGAGGAAAGCTTTGTCTAAAAATCAGGAATCAGTAGGAAGGAATGCCCAAGTTAAGGTAAGGGGGTCTGCTGTCTGTCCTGCAATGCCATACCCGAGCCAGGTTGGAAATAAGCCACATGGTACTCAATCAAAAAGGCCAATTTTAAAAAGATTTTATGGTTTGTCAAGCGTGATTCCCCAGGTCCCTTAGAAAGGAATTTGAGCAAGATCAAAAAGGTCAGAGTTCGGTCCTCATTCTTATGTAATTTATAATATGGAGCAAGCATCTTTCTACCTTGGCGAATTCCCACCCTTTCTGTTACGGTTATCTTTCAGCACCTCATCCTTTGCACTTGCAAGGTTGTGAAATCTCTCCAAACATTCCTTTCATGTGAAAATTTTTGCTGGTGTCACTTCCTCTGGGACATCTCCACCCTTCCTGTCACCACTGCTTTCCCATTTATGGTAAGTTGGCCTCACGAAGTCCCTTTGGCTGACTATCTAAAGTCCCTTGAACAGTATCAGGGTCCCTTGCCAATACTTCTATAGCTTGCATTCAATTTCAACTTCACTTCCAGCATTACCACTTCCCATTTCTTCCCTGCACTTTCATCTTGTCTGCCAAATCCCTGTTGCAGTTATTCATTTCCGTAAAATGTCAGTGGGCTGCCCGCTGGGAGACACAGAGGCAATGCGACTTCTGGTTTTGCTGTGTCAGTAAGAGATTCACAGGGCCCAACACCAACAGACTTTGGAAGAAGTGACATGATTGGTCACTGATGGTGATGAGCTTTTGTTATTCACATAGTGATTTGTAGACGGAGGAGCCAGCACTGAAGCTTGTACTTTATGCAAATTACTCACAGGAAATTCACCTGGGTAACTAAAATTTGGACCTTGTGTTGGGGGACTTGTGTTATTTACCTGAAGTGTGTTAACTGAAATTCATGCACATCAGCACCAAGGTGATAACTGCCTGCATTTGTCTGTTTATCTTCCTCAAATAGAATGCCAATTCTAACAGGGAAGGGACTATATGTATCCTCAGTTTTCAAACCAGTGGTTGCCATATAATAGGCCATCAAATGTTTTAATAAACGAATGAATACATCATTGAGGCCATTGGTTTCTACTAGATGTGAATTTCAAAATAAAACTTTTTTCATTCAATCACCTGACTTGTGTGTTATATTCCCCAGATCTTTCTTTAAAGATTACTCTCTCTTCTTTCTGTTTAAAAGATCTCATCAAAAATTCAACATCCTCCAGAAAATAAAAAAGTGCTAAAAAAAATCCTCCCAAATCCCCAAACCAAAACCCACATTGATTGGAGTTTGTCAAAGGGGCACAGGAACCAAGTGAAAGAACTCCCAGTGGCCAAAGCTGGAACAATTTCAGCAACAAAATAAATAAAATAGTATTGGGTTATAGCCCAAAATATAAAATAAATATCTGTGAATCCACAATGACATAAATAAATGATTGAATAAGTTAATAAATGGTGGAGAAGAGAAAAATCTCCTGTGTGTAGAGTCCAGATAATCCATGTATATACTCCACCCTAAAGGAGGTGGAACATACCTCTCCTTCCTCAAATGTGGACTGTGCATAGTGATTTCTTCCAAAGAGTGCAGCATGGAAAGAAAAGGAAAAAATAACTTTGTAGTGGAAATATCTGACAAATGCTACATCCGCCCAGAGATCAAGTATTCATCAACAGTCATAAATTGACATCAATAACCATAAACCATGTCAATAGCATGTATCCTTGATAGGATGTGATAAAAACGACACTCATCCTGTTACCTTAACCTCCCAAAACTCAGCCCCCCCCATCTAATCATGAGAAAAATATCAAACAAATTCCAATAGAGAGGCAATATCCTGCCCTGTGCTCCTCAAACCCCTCAAGGTCACCAAAATCAAGGAAAAGCTAAGAAACTGTCACAGCAAGAACAGCCTAAGGATACATGACAAGTAAATGTCACATGGTATCCTGGGTGGGATCCAGGAACAGAAAAAAGACATTAGGTAAAAACAAAAGAAATCTTAAAAACCTATGAACTTTGAGTAATCGTGATGTATCAATACTGGTTCACTAATTGTGAAAAATGTCTCATAGTGTTGTTAAAATGTTAATACCAGGGATATATGGGAACTCTGTATTATCTTTTCAATTCTTCTATAAATCTAAAACTGTCCTAAAACATTAAGTCTATTAAAATAATTTCACCATCTTGTGCCCGGCTAGTTTTCTTTGCCTCTTGTACATCTTGGGGGACAATTCAAGGAAATGTGTGGTGAGGAGACTTTGTTAATATTCCCGAGTTTGATCTCACTTCACAAGCCAGAGGTGTCCTTTTCTCTGTCCCCGACCAGAACTCACACCAGACCCAGGCACTCAGAGATCCCTGAGGAAGCTGCTTTTCAGTCCTGCATGACACTCGCCCTAAACTTTTCCAGTTAGTGAAGCCCAGATGAGACCAAGTAGGGTCAGAGAACTGTGGGTTATGCAGATGAGGAGGGCTTGTGTGGAGGACCTGACTAGGGGGGAATGAATATGTGTACTGAGCCCAGCAGTTCACAGGAAGAAGACGTCCCTAAGGGGAGTGGGGTGGATGAGATGATGCACAAGGCTACAGAAGATGGTCCTCAACTCTCAACCTTCTCAGCTGAAGCGATTGCCTCAGCTGAAGAGAGCCGTCTTGCTTGGGTCATGCCTGGCAACAGGCCACATCCAACAACTCACCAACCTGGTGGTATGAAAGCCCAGCTCTCCCATCCTAGCTCAGAACAGCTCTGAAGGCACATCTTAGTCCCAGAGCTCCCTGTGAAGTCAGCTGAGATCTTCTCTGGGACTTTCCTGCAGCTCAACTTCTCCTTCTACCCAACCTGGAACAAAGAGGCTATGCTAGGTGTCAGAAACATGGGAAACTCTTTACCTCTAAGGGAGCAAGTCAGTCTTGGAAGGATGGATTGCTTATATTAATATTGCCTCAAGAGCAAAGAGAATCCACAAAAGCATTTATGTAAGAGAGGGGTGTAATCAGATCAGTGTTATAGAAAGACCACTCTGGCTGAAGTAGGTAAAAGAGATGGGAAACAAATGAAGATAGCAGTCAGGCAAGGGGAGATGATGTAGATGGAGAAATAGACTGATTCGAAAGGGATTTAGGAGGTAAGTTGGATAAGGTCTGGTAGAGGAGCGATAGGAACGGATGAGTGAGAGTGTAGGAAGTGGACCCCTTCCTGGTTTGACTAACTGGGTGGGTGATGGTGCCAAATACCAAACAGACATGGGGTGGGTGAAGACAAGGTCTATGAGTACAGACCTTGAGCTCAGATTTGAATATTTGAGGTATGCAAATGAAGATGTCAAAAAGGGTGCAGGATATATGGTTCTGCATCATGGGCTCCAGATTATTCAGCTACTACGAGGCAGATTCAGGATTTGAACGTCAATTACATCTGGTTCCAAAGCTGGTGCTCTTGGAACTCATTAGTATTCACCCTTAGCTTAGAGTCTAATGGAAGGCGAGAAGGTTCCTAGAGGTGGGGGGAAGGGTGGGATGATGGAGGCTGGGGGAATGTTCCTGTCTGCTTCCAGTAAGGCCATGGGTAGGCATCCCTGCATGAGATCCATCATTCCAGAACAGAAGGATAGGATGGTGACATCACAAAGGAAAGGGCATCTTGTCATCTCACAAAGGATGTTCAGGATTTTCTCTGTGTTCTCCTGTTCTAACATCTCTCCTGGCCCAGATGCCTAGTCAGACCCTGAGGAAGAGGCAGGGGTCATAAGAAGGCAATGGGGAAACAGCCCTAGAGGCCGGTTCCTGGCTTTGGATGCTCCGGCATTAAATATTCACCAACCGAGTGTGGGCTGAGAGTCCCTGGACACAACCTTTGTGCCTGAGGAGAGGACAGCCCATTCCAGAGCTGAGAGAGAAGGAGGCAAACCTGCTTGTTCTCCCTCTTTCTGGGAGCATTTCCTCTGTCCCTCCACTCCCTCCAGAGCTGGCCCCAGACCCAGCCCGGACAGGAGAAGCCGCCCTCTCCATCCCAGGTGTTTCTAGGCGTGTCGCTGTCTCTCCTGGAGAGAGTTCTCCATGGCTCCACCTCCCCTGGAGAGCCCTCCATCCTCTAAAGCCAGATCATCACCACCTCCAAAACTCTAATATCTTTCTTAGCCACGCTTGATTCTTCTCCAGGAAGGAGAAAAGAAGCGTCTCCTAGTATGGCATGGAGGGACCCACAGAAAAGCCAGGAGCCCACAGCAGACATTGCACCAGGGCTCATTGTTCACCTCTGGCACCTCTGGAGTGCAGGGAAGGGGCCCTTGTAAAGTCCAACTCTATGGTCAAGAAAGCAAGGCTTTAGAGATCTCTTCTCCCCCTGCAGCTGTGCAGTTCAGTGAGGCCCAGATGTTGAACACATGCAGGGGCTGGACCCATGACTGCCCATCACAAGGTTCCAGAAGCTTCTGGCTCAGCCTGTGTCTCTGAGGCTCCTGGACAGACAAGGGCTGCGAGGTCAGAGAGAACTTCTGAGATGGGCTGAGGCTCAGGGAGGAGCACAAGCCTGCGGGTGTCAAGCCCCAGCCCCAGCCCCAGCCCCAGCCCCAGCCCCAGCCCCAGCCCCAGCCCCAGCCCCAGCCCCAGCCATACGGGGTATTTCCAGCAGCATCTTCTCAGCTAGCAGCAGCCATTTCTATCCAATTTTATAATCACAAAGGAAAAATAGTCCCAGTCCCCTGGCCTTTCCTCTCATCGCAATCTCTTTCCTCTGACATCATGGAAACAGGAGCTACCCTCTCTCTTCAGAGTGGAGTCCAGTGCCTGTCCAGGACAGGCTTCCAGACAGAGGAGGCTCAAGGGCCCCCTGTGATGCCCGTCCCTGCCTCTCCACCCTGCCTGCCTCTGCCCTCCCTACTGCTGCCCCTGCTGCTGGGCTTACAGGTGAGTGAGGCCTCAGGTGTTCGTGTAGTGGGGACTTCCCTCCGCCTGTTTAGTGTTCCCTCACCACCTGTTCCCATAGAATTTCTTCTGGGAGGGTTTTCTCTGTCCCACCCCAGAACAGGCAGAATTTAGAAGACTAGACTGGGATAGCCACTCATTGACAAAATCTCCCAGTGGCCGTGTCTGTTCCACAGCCCTTTGTTCAGGTCAAGGAGTCACACCCACGTCCACAGGGCTGGGTGCAGCACCCATCACAGCCCCCACTCCCCAGCTTCTGGAAATAGAGGATCTGTCTTCTAAATTTATTCCCACTCCCAAAATGGTACCTGCTCAATGGAGAGAAAAAAGTGTTGGAAAACGTGAAATTATAATGCAAGAACATACAGTGCTGCCACCCAGAAATAACCATTGCTAAAATTTTGCAGACGTTTGAGTGCTCATGGAACGTTGGCCAGAAGTGGCCACTGGAAGTCTCTCCAGGTCAGTGAGGAAGCTGAGCCCTGCCCAGTTCTGCCTTTTTCCCCCAAAGCCAAGCAGACATGTGCGGTCTCTTCCTCAAGCCCAGCAGTCCACGCTGGTAGAGGCTTCGAGTCCCAATTGCATAGCAGGCAGCCTGAGGGGTTCAGACCAGACAGAAGAGGAAGCAAGACCCTCATCTGAGTATGAGGAAGGAGGGAGGAAGGCTCAGATGTTTGAGACACCCAGGCTCACTGGAGAATTTTAGCAAACATCAATTTTATACAATCTCTTTAAAAAATAATTAACACCAATTTTATATAATCTTTTCAGGAAAATAGAAGAGGAGGAAACACTTCCCAACTCATTTTATGAGGCCATTACCTTGATAGCAAAACCAGATAAAGACTATATAAAAAATAAATAAAAGTACACACCAATGTCTTCCATGAACTTAGATGCAAACATCCTTAACAAAATATTAGCAAATAGAATCTAACAATGTGTAAAGTTACACACTATGACTAAGCCAGAATTATTCCAGGCACACAAGACTGTTTCAACTTCTGAAAATCAATTATTATAATCCATCACATCAACAGGTTAAAGGAGAAAAATTGCATGATCATATCAATTGATGCAGAAAAAGGATTTCACAAAATCCAACATTTATTCATTATGAAAACATTCAGCAAACTAGAAATAGAGGGGGAATTTCCTATACTTGATACAGAGCATCTCAAAAAACCTACAGCTAACGTTATACTTACTGATAAAAGATTAAATACTTTCCCTACAAAATCGGGAACAAGGCAAGGATGTCCATTCTCCCCACTTTTATTCAACATAGTACTGGAAGTTGTACACATTGCGATGAGAAAAGAGAAAGAGAGAGAGAAGGAAAGAAGGAAGGAAGGAAGGAAGGAAGGAAGGAAGGAAGGAAGGAAGGAAGGAAGGAAGGGAGGAGGAGGGAGGGAGGGAGGGAGGGAGGGAGGGAGAGAAAGAAAAGGCATACAGATTGCAAAGGTAGATATTTGTAAATGACATGTTTGCCTTATGTAGAAAGTGCCAAAGAATCTGCTAAAAGAAAAAAACTCCTAGAGCTAATGATTGAGTTCAGCAAGGTAGAAGGATACAAGGTCAACATACAAAACTAAGTTGTATTTGTATATATTAAAAACAACATAACCATTTATATTAGCACCAAAGAAAATGAAATAGGTATAAACCTAACAGAAACATGTACAAGACCTATATGACAAAAATTACAAAATACTGATAAAAAAGGTCAAAGAAGAAATAAATAAACCTTCATGGATAGAAAGACTCAATATTGTCAAGATGTTGGTTCTTCCTAACTTGACCTATTTACTCAATGCTTTCCTAATCAAAGTTCAAGCAAGTTATTTTTGTAGATATTGACAAACTGAGTTTATGTGGAGAGGCAAAAAACTCAGAATAGCCGATATAATATTGAAGGAGAAGAAAGAGGTCAGAGAACTGACACTGTCTAACTTCAGCACTTACTATAAAGCTACAGCAGTCAAGACAGTGTGGTATTAGTGAAGGATTGACAAATCAATGAAATAGAATAGAGAGTCCAGAAATGGAGCCACATAAAAATAGTCAACTGATCTTTGACAAAGGAGCAAAGGTAATATAATAGAGAAAATATAGTCTTTTCAACAAACAGTGCTGAAAAAACTGGACATCCAGATGCAAAAAAAGAATCTAGACACAGACCTAACAACTCTCACAAAAATTAATTCAAAATGGTTCCTAAATCTAAATGTAAAACACACAACTGTAAAACTCCTAGGAGAGAAAATAGAAGAAAACCCAAATGACCTTGGGTATGGCCATGATTTTTTTTAAAAATTAGTAGACTTTATTTTTCTTTTAAACACTTTATTTTTTTAGAGCAGTTTTAGGTTTACAGCAAAATTGAGTGACAGGTACAGATGTTTCTCACATACCCTCTGTCTGTGGCTTGTGTTTTTATTCTCTTGACAGTATCTTTCACAGAGCAGAAAATTTTAATTTTAATGAAGTCTACCTTATCAATTCTTTCTTTCATGAATTATGCCTTTGGTGTTGAATCTAAATAGTCAAATCTCCCACATGCTGGGAGAAAATATTTGCAAAAGACATATTTGATAAAAGATTCTTACCCAAAATATACAAAGAACCCTTAAAACTCAACACTAAGAAAATGAGCATGCTGATTTTAAAATGAGCAAAAGACCTGGACACGACACCAACAAGATATACAGATGGAAAATAAGAATATGAAAAGAGGCTCTCACCGAGTGAGTAAGGGTACTGAGGTAGGGTGGGTTTTTTTAAAAATCCAGGAATTTAATAGAGTCACGAGACATTGACTAGGATCCACAATAGTTATGGCCATGCAGGAAGAAAACAGACAAATTAGAGATTTGTAATAAGACAGTAGAAAATTATGTACCCACCTGGAAAAACCACTCTTCTTTTTTTTTTCTCAATGAACAAATACTTAAAATAAGTGTTTGGGTTACTAATGGCTACCAAAAATGATTCGGGCATAATAATGAGGTGAAGAGAGCAGCATTCCAAGGTTGTTCATTACATTGTCAACACCTCCAAGGGATTCTTCCACGATGTATCTCAAAGCACCCCTGAAGAACCTCACCATGGACAGGAGAGGAAGCAAAAGGAATTATAAGCATATATTGACCAGATAACTGAAATGGGGAAATCCATTGAAATTTTCAACATATATTAATATTAGTGACTAATAGTGTGATCTGAGCTTGAGAAAGAACTAAGAGTTTCTGGGCCTATGAGTTTCTTTTACACAGCCCCTAAAAGTCACTAGGGCTGGCCTACTAAATCAATAGAGGAACAAAACATCACAACCTTGATGACCCTTTATTTCATTTTTTATACTCTGTATAGTATAATTAATTTTTTATGATAGGGTAACAATTTTTATGATAGGGTAACAATTAATTTTTTATGATAGGGTAACAAAAATACACAGTTAACGGTCATAAATTTTATTTCTATTAAAACACAATTAAAAGGAGGAAACTTAAGCCATTGATAACAGGTGAGCAGATGGGAACATCTCACAGGTAAGATTGAGTATACCTAGCCACGCTGGCGGCTTTCGGGGTGATACTTGGATAAACTTGCATACGCCCAATAAGTGTTTACAAAGAATTTATAGAAGTTTCCCATTTTAAAGATAAAAATTTTATCTTGGTTTTATGAATCAAAATCCCCATTCTAAATGTTACCCTTCCTGTTTGCTACCAAGCTTAACAAAGGCTTTAGTGACTGCCTAGTCTATTTTCTCATCGATTTAAATTAGATCAAAGAAAAGTCAGCTTAAAAGGACAGATTCATGTTTTATATGCATCATAATTAAAAGTGGTGATTTAATATAACTGATGTATTGAAATTGATGCATCGGCTTGCAATTGTCCATAACTTGCTTAAAGTGAAGAAGTGTATAGAACATCATTTTGGGAATTCTCAGTTTACTTTGAAATCACTATACCTAAGCTACATGGTACCTTTAAAGATCAACCAGAGAGGGGGAAAGCCCTATTTATAGCTGACTCAAAGCCAGAATTCCTGTGCCTACCTTGCTACATCAAATTTTACAACCTTGGTCATAGCATTGCTTTCTCTTCCTGCAGCTCCTAGAAGCTTTTATTCTTTAAGTTATTCTTAGGACAAACCAATAGTAACAAGTAAATTATAATTTAAAAATTTTTTTCTGGATCTTGGGCTCCCTCAGGTCCTCATAACCTGTCCAGCTTTTTTCAGCCTTTCAGAAGAAAGGGGAGGGAGGGAGGGAATCAGTGGATTTAGTATTCATTTTTTCCTTTTCCTTTCCAGAAAATATCAAATGTCTGTGATGTAAATTTTTTTAAAAGTTGCCAAACTAAGCAAAGTCCTTTAACATAAATTAAAACCTAAAGTTTTCTGATTTTGTGCTAATTATAGAAAAATGGTAAACTTGAAGAAAGAGTGTAAATAAAGCTAAATATTAGATACCAATATGCATATATGTGTGTATAAAAGGGAGACAGTATCTTTAAAATTCTACAAACGGAAAATTCTCCTTTGAGTATGCCATTTGTTGGAGAAATATTGAAAATATTGAAAATAAACATGAAAATATATTTTTATGTATAATTTCTTGTATTGCTAAATTCCAAAACCTACTTTTCGCTTTAGAAACTTCCTATCTTCGGTGTCTGGACGGGGAAGGAAAGTGGCTGCTTGGAAAGGCCGATGGTCCAAACAGTGGATATTGTCTCATTACAGGGCTTAACTGGTATTTTATAAATAAATGACAAAAGTTCTATTATTATTTACCACTTTTCTGTTGATTTGGAGAACGTATCTCTTAATTTAGGGCACGCTCATTTCAATAGTTTTTATCCTAAGCAACAAGGAAAGAAGGAAATGAACTTCACGGCTGAGATTTGCTTGGCGGCCTCTCTTCCCTCTCACGCTCCATGCCCGGCCACGCCCGATGACCAGCGCGTCGCTCTAAGGGTCCCTCCCCAGTCGCCCCTCATGCAGGTGCTCTGCCTCCAGGAATGACAAGGGTAAGCGTGTCTATAGTGTCTACCATCAACGCAATTTCCATTTGCTGATTCCTGCAGCTTCTGCCCAAACAGGAATTGAGTCTCGGAGTGGGTAAGGTTAGTCCCCAGATGCCACTCATCTGCACAACAAAGGGCAGGTGTTTCTGCCTCCCGAGCCTCTCCAGGCCTGCACAGTCTCTAACCTCCCACTGTGGGCTGGAGGGTGATCGGTCCTGCAAGCAGGGACCTGAGTAGGTGCACAATCTACTCCTGGACCACAGTCGAAGTCAATGAGTGGGCGTGGTCTCCGACCATGGCCTTCAGCTGCTTTGGGGGCATTTCAGACCAAAAATCAGCCCCCGCTATGGCCTTGCTTGTTAGAATCCACCCAAAGAGAGCTGAGCGACTCCACATTGCCAGGCTGAGCTCAGATCTCCAAGCCTAAGTAGTCTGCTCACGCTTGGTCTCTGAGCCAAACCTCTCTCTTCAACCTCCTGCCGACTTAACTTCAGAAAATACAGTGAGGATTGGGAGATCCCCCAGGACAGCGGGGCTTCCCCAGGAACGGGCCAAACCCAGCCACCTTCCCTGCTGTCCACCCCACAGATCACTCGTGAGGCCTGGTGGAGCCAAACAGGCGAGCGGGCTCCACACCCGCTCTCGGCTCGGTCAGCTCTCTGCTGCCCCTTCCTCAGGTCCTCAGGGAGAATACCAACCTCACTGAGAACGCGTGCCTCAACGTTTATTTGGGGAGAGGTGGATGAGCGGGCTTTTACACGACAGAAGGTCTCTTATGAGAGGGCGCAGTGGCTTGCAGGTCACTCTGAGCTAGTACGCTGGTTATCAACACGTTGTCCCTAACTTGGGGCTGTATCCCTAATTCTGAGACAATTGGAAAAATCCAACTCAAATTCTATTTTGCATTTTTCACTTTGAAAAAAAGTATTCATCCAGTCATTTAAAATGCATTTATTTGGTGCCTAATATATTCCAGGCCCTCATATCCTGATGCAGAGGGAGGTGCCACTGAGCTCTCTGTGCACTGGTCCCTTCCCTTCATCTGGAATGGCACCCAAAATGGACATTTGTGTATGATTGGTGCCGTTATGTGATGCTGAAATAAAGTTAGCATTAATATACTGAGACCCCACCTTGACCTACAACCAGACCCTCAGACCAATTTGAGCCAAGACAGGAAACATGAGGGATGATTCCAAGTTTCTTTCCAGGAACTTCAAATGAAGAGTTCCAGGTTAAACCAGCCTGAGAGTTTAGGGTCAGTCAGTGCTGGGGATCTCCTCACCCCACCCTGGCCTGCAACACGTCTGCTCTGTCCCCAGAAGGACCTGCCTTATGGTTCAAGGACACTGGGCTAGAACAACAATTAACCTACATACAGTTTCAATGGAAGCCACTTCCCCCGAGTAACCCAAGTGGAAAACACAACGGCCAATCAAGCAGACTATGCCATTCGTGTCAGTGACATCTTCATGGAGGATGCTGGCATCTACTCCTGTGTGAGGTGAAGGGTAGGACTTCCTGACATGGAGTTCACGTCTAGTCCAGGCACCTGGGTGTATGCGAATGGTGATCACGGCCCGATGCACTCTATCCCCTGGGCTTGTGAAGATGAATCTTTAAAAACCTTCACCACGCACCAGAGCATTACCACATACTGGATACTGTGCCCTTTACCCATCAACAACCCTGTAGACTAGGTTTCTACAGATGGCCCTTCTGATACGCCATTCTGGACTGCTGTGACAAACATTGAATCCAGCCATGTTGACGGGCCATGCTCTTCTCTGATGGCCAGCTCCACCAGAACCCAATAACACAGAGGACACTCCCAAATAAAAAGACACTGGATATACAAAACGAAACTACATGTGTGCACTGCATGGTCCAACTGGTGAGACAACTGAGACATAGAAGGCTGACTGATGTTTCTAAGGTTTCAGGAACAAACCTGGGCCCAGGTATATGCATTGTGTATATGACAACTTCTTCCCTGACCCTGAACTTCAGCCCCATCTTAGCTTCTGGCTTCAAGATGGAATCTCCACATAGGTGAAGTTTGCACCCAAATACCCAATATCTCCTGAGCCAAAACAAAGGGCTCCTCGGCAGGCAGAATTTCTATATGCCTTCATGATTCCCCTCACCTCCCATTGCCAACTGGAATGTGACTGGGGCCTGAGAGCAAGTACCCGAGTGGTCACCACAGTCCAGCCTGAAATGAGTCAACGAGTGGAGGAGGTGGGTTCCTCCCATATCTGGCTCTGCTTCTGGGGAACGGTGAGCCCAGAGGAAGAGCTGTCATGTGTCACCCTTTCCAAGGTCTTGTTTGCAGAAAGCCCTCCCAGATGGGTTGAGTCACGCTCCTGACACTCGAGCCTTCCACATCTGCCCTGAGACTCCTACTCCAGCCCCACTGCTCTTGTATTCCCCGAGGATAACCAGCGTTTCCTTCTCCTCACCACTCTTGGAATTGAGTTCATGAAACACAGTGATATTAGGTGTCCCTCTATTCTGCCAGGAGAACTGACCTGCCCAATAATGTTTCCCTGGAGTCCAGACACAGTCCACAGCATCCAAATGGCCATGGAAAACCCACAGATTTCCCCCAAGGTAAATAATGTCAACACAGGCTGTTTTCCTGCCGCCACTCCTGGCTCACCAGCCAAGAGTTCCCTTTCTCCCTAACCCACTCCTTAGAGGGTCTGTGGTTTTGATGGCTTGCCACACTGAGGAGAGATTATTGCCAGCACCATACATGGTAGGGCAGTGGTGGTGGTTGTGGTGGGAGGAGAGGGGGTGGCCAGTGAGGAGGGCCAGTGTTGTTGAGGGCCCTTGAGGCTCTACTATCTTTTTGTTGAAGAAACTGCCCCGTCTTCCCTCTCTTCTCTTGAATAGATAAGCAGTAGAACCATACACCATGACCACCTTCTTCGTTAATTGTGTTATCTCTTGACTTCCCCTTCTCCACACCTCTCAGCACTAATCTCTCCACAAATTCAGTGTCTCATCGCCCTTGAGAGGAGACAGGAAGGCCAACCCCAGCTCAGTGGAGGTGTGGGGTGGGGGTGGGGGCTGGACTAGGACCCAGCTCCAAGCGTATGCGTGATTCTAGGCATTTAGGTGAGAAGAGGGGCTAGTCTCTCTCTGCAAACGTTACTCACTGATATTCCCCAACTTCTCCCTCCCTGGCCCCCTCTCACCTTGGTTAGGGATGAGACATGGAACTGAAAATGTAAAGCATCTGTTCCTCGGGACCGACTCCTCTCTCGAGGCACTGTGGGGTGACACTGCCTCCACGTGCAAAGGCCTCCCTGTGTTCAGTGTGGGGACACTTACACATGTCATCAAGACGATTAAAGAATGGAGGCCAGCCGTGACCTGCGTCCATACTTCTCAGTCCTGCCTGCGCCGGAGCAGGGGAAATGAGAATTGATTTCCAGTGTCTTTCCAGGAGCCACAGATGAGGCGCTCCAGGTGCAACAAGCTGGCATGCCATAGACGGTATCCACTGGGGAGACGGTCACCCTGAGTTGCAGTGTACCAGAGACCTTCCCGAAAGGACCTGTCTTGTGGTTCAAGGGAATTGGGCCAAACCGAGAATTAATCTACAGTTTCAAACAAGATCACTTTCCCAGAGTAAAAGCAATTGGAGACAACACCAAACCTGGCAACACGGACTTTTCTATCTGCATCAGCGATGATTCTCTTGCAGATGCTGGCACCTATTATTGCGTGAAGCTCATAAAAGGGAAACATAAGGAATACCAGTCAGGTCCGGGCACTGAGGTGTCTGTTATTGCTGAGTATCTCTTACACCCCCTGGTGCATGATATCATCTCAGTAATCATGTCTTCTACTCATTGAATAACTGCTATGTGCCAAATATTATTGAAGGTACAATATACATCTGATCTTTTTAATGCTCTCAGCAAGCTGAGTAAGGTATTTTATAGGAGAGAAAACACACTCAAAAAGGTTGAGTGATGGGCGATATTTTGGTTGACTTCCTGATATTTAAATAACCCCCAGTGACTAGCCTAAACCGATTAAAATAATTCCATGTCCTCTACCAGTGATTGACTCAAATATGGGACCTCCTTAGCCATTTTGTGTCTGTAAGAGAAAAAGACAGGCTTGCAGAGAAATCTGGGAAAGGGACGCTCCTTTTGGCCAGGAACAAGCAATCATGTTGCCCCAGGTACTTTAGACAGACAGCTTATGATCAAGAGGGGACCAAGTTGAGAAAAAATCTACTCTAGATGAGTGCAAAGATGTGAAGAGTATGGGTTGACAGCATTGCAAAGCCCTACTAATCTCGCCTCTGGATTCCCAATAATGGGAGAGAAGAAAACTCCTTGCTAAGCCAGTTTGCTTAAAGGCAACAGTTGTCCTAAGGAATTCCAGATAATAAAGGCCACACACCTAAAGAGTGTTGCATTACAACTACAAATCGATTTTTATGCTCCAAAATCCATACTTTTTCTTATGATGCCCTATGAACTCTGAGTGATAACCAGCCTGAGAAATTATTAAATTGGTGATATAATAATGCTACCATTTATTGGGCATCTACTATATTCTATGTGCTTTATCTATATTACCTGCACAGCAACTCTTGAGTATAAGGATGCTTGTCCTCATTGTACAGATGAAGAAACTGAGACTGAAGGAGATTCAGAGGTGTAGATAGCAGAAAATAGAGGTGAGGTTGGTCTGGACCTGGTGCAATATGCTCTATATTAGTGAAGGACATTTTCTTACAAGTGATAAGACCCAATATATTAGGGTTTTTTTGTTTGTTTGTCTGTTTGTTTGTTTGAGACAGAGTTTTGCTTTGTTGCCCAGGCTAGAGTGAGTGCCGTGGTGACAGCCTAACTCACAGCAACCTCAAACTCCTGGGCTCAAGCAATCCCCCTACCTCAGCCTCCCCAGTAGCTGGGACTAGAGGGATGTGCCACCATGCCTGGCTAATTTTTTCTATATATGTTAGTTGGCCAATTAATTTCTTTTTATTTATAGTAGAGACAGGGTCTCGCTCTTGCTCAGGCTGGTTTCAAACTCCTGACCTTGAGCAATCCGCCCACCTAGGCCTCCTAGAGTGCTAAGATTACAGGCATGAGCCACTGCGCCCAGCCCCAATGTATTTGTTTAAACCAAAACTATGAAATAATGATCCTATAGCTACAGAGGATTCTGAGTTCTTCACAGTATTGAAGGCAGAGCTTTAGGAACCAGGGTCTAAAGGGCTGGATTTAGGGCTTAGTGCTACCAAGACTCTCACTCTCTGAAATTCTCTCTTCTGTTCCTGGCCTTCCTCCTTTCCTTTCTGCTGCACATATTATAGAAGATGATAGAGAAAATAAATGCAGAAAATATATTCATTCCCCCATCTTTTTTTTTTTTTTTTTTTTTTTTTTTTAAGGTGTCACTGTGTCACGCATGCTAGAGTGTAGCGTGGAGTGATCATAGCTCACTGAAGCCTCAAACTCTTGGACTGCTGCCTCAGCCTCCCGAGTAGCTGGGACTACAGGCATGTGCCACCATGCCCGGCTAATTTTTTCTAGATATATTAGTTGGCCAATTAATTTCTTTCTGTTTATAGTAGAGACGAGGTCTCGCTCTTGCTCAGGCTGGTTTCGAACTCCTGACCTTGAGCAATCCACCCGCCTCGGCCTCCCAGAGTGCTAGGATTACAGGCGTGAGCCACTGCGCCCGGCCCATTCCCCCATCTTAACAATCAAGATGGAAAGAGACCTTCTTCCTCTCAGCCTCCACAAATGAGTCCAAGGGAACTATCCTAATTAGCCTTTTCTATGCCATATTCTCAATATTTCATTTACTCATTGTTGCTAAAGAGAGGAGGTGCTATGAGAGATAACCAATCAACCCAATGAAACAAATGCTAAGCAGACTAAAAACAAAATATGTCCATCCACCACATGGTCCAGAGCTTTCTCCTATCAGACGAGGATGTTGAACCTCAGAGAGGTTGATTGGCTTGCCTAAAGATTATGCAATCTGAAGAACAGAGGAAAATGAAGGAATAAACAATGAAGAGACCATCAGAGAAATGTAGGCAATCCTCAAGATGGCAAATATGTGTAAATAGGTATAGCAGGAGGAGAGGAGAAATAGAAAGTAGCAGAAAAATATTCAAAGAAAATATGAATGAAAACTTCCCAGATTTATTAAAAAACAATCTACACATCTAGGAAGCTCAGGGAAATCCAAGTAAGATAAACTCACAAGATCCACAGACACATCATAGTAAAGATGTTGACAAAGATAAGGAGAAAATCTTGAAAAGCGGTGAAAGGGAGCCCCAATAAGATTAACAGCTGACTTCACAACAGAAACCATAGAGGGCAGAAGGCAGTGGGATAAAAGTGCCCAAAGGAAAAAAGAAAAACAGTCAACCAAAAAATTCTATACCTACCTTTCAAAAATGAAGGAAAAAAAAAAAGATGCTGAGCATCTTTTGATGTGCTTATTGGCCATTTGTATAACTCCTTTGGAGAAATGTCTATTCACATCTTTGGCTATTTAATGGGTTATTTGTCTTTTTACTATTGAGTTGTATGAATTCTTCATATATTCTAGATTTAAGACCCTTATCAAGTATGTAATTTGCAAATATCTTCCCCATTTTGTGGGCTATGTTTTCATTTTCTTGATAGTGTCCTTTGAGGCAAGGTTTTAATTTTGATAAAGTCTAATTTATTTATTTTTGTTGTTGTTGTTTCTTGCACTTTTGGTGTTTTAGCTAAGAATCCATTGCCAAATCCAAGTTCATTAAGATTTACCCATATCGTCTATGTCTCCTCCACAGAGGGGAACCAAAATAGTAAGCAGATTCTCACATTTTGAACAGATCATCTAAGAGAGACTACAAGGATTCAACACCGAAGCTATAGGAAGGACCAAAAGTGGTTAAGGAGAGGTTTGAGGGCAACTTGCTCATTCAGGAGCTGGCTAACATCTGGGAGAAGCTCCTGGACTTTGTGAAACAGTAAGAGAAAAATCCCTAGGGCCCCATTCTCTGAGATGAGCTTTTATGATCTTGGCTACAAGAGAATGCCCCAGACCACACAGGTCTTGGCCCTAACATAGGGAGCTGCTTGGAGATGGTTCAGAGACATTGTTCCAGAAAGGAAGCACATGTGGAATCTCACAGGCATCCAAGCCTAGGGCAGTTTGAGGTGGGTGCTATTCTGAGAACCTGGGTACTGGGGAACCATGGGTATACCTGCAGCCGCTGCACAGCTCCAAGGAGAGATAGGGGAGCCCAGGCACTCGCATGCACCCCTGGGAAGGTCCCTGCTGCCCTACTATAGGCTGCTGTTGAGACTGAGATGTGAGTGGATAGCATTTTCCAGTTTCTCATCCATGCTTATTGCCTGGGTGGGGCCCCAGCCTTTCAAGTCACAGGTCCAAGGCATTATTTTGAGAACTCAACACTGGGTTGTGCCCTGCCCTCATGCTGGGCTTGGGCTTAACAAGGCTGTAGCCCCCACCTGGCTCGGGAGGGACAGGGGAAGCCAGGCTTCCCAGCACATACCTGGGACAGTGCCCATCAACCTGAATCCAGCTGCTGTTGAGACTGAGCCTTGACAAACTGCACTGCCCACAGTTTACTGCGAGTGCACCCTGCCCTCAGGCTGAAATTGGGCTTTTTCTTGTCTCATTGCATTGGCCAGGATCTCTAGTACATTGTTGAATAGATACAATGAGAGTAGGTATCCTGTTGTTGCTGATTCCAAAGGACATTCTTATAAAGTTACACATTAAAGATGATTTTGTTATTTTAGGCTTTTGGTAGATATCAGGCTAAGAAAATTGCCTTCTATTCCTCATTGTCTAAACCTTATTAAATGAGTAATAAGGTTTAGAGTAGTAGTAGGAAGAGGAGGAGGAGTAATTAATACCAAGAGGAAGAAAGATATAGGGATATGGCTCTTGAGCAGACAGAGAAACAAAGTCACCTGAGGAAAGATCACAGGCTGTGTGGTCAGAGAAGCCTGTGTTCCAGCCCTGGCTCTGGACTATCTCTATCTCTAGTTGCTAATATGATGTGGGTGTTTTTAGCCTCTGCTAGCCTCAATTTCCTTATCTATAAAATGGACATTATCATGTCTAATCATAGAGTTGTCAGAATTAACATATAGAGTACATATAATATTGTTTGGTCACCATTGCTAATTATTTATTAATCTTATTAATTATTAATTATTAATCAATTATTAATCTTCTTATTAATTATTAATCTTCCTTCTTATAGCTCCACCCTCCCTGCCTGTGGTAATAGGCCCCTTGGAGACAGCCCTACTTGAGCAGACTGTAAATTTTAGCTGCATGTCATATGGCTTCTATCCCCAAAACATCACCCTGAAGTGGTTCAAAAATGGAAAGGAACTCTCATCCCTATAGACCCGGGTGGTTCACTTGAAGGACAGGACTGCCTGCGAAATCTTCAGTACTGCTGAGGTGGTCCTGGCTGGAAATGACTTCAACTCTCACATCACCTGCGATGTAAACCACGGAAGCTTACATTACCCTCTGCCTGGGAAGGCTGATTTGCTGGAGATCATGAGAGGTAGGTGACACCATATGTGGCCAGTCTTTCATTTGGCTTTGAAGCACAGTTCTCCCCAGATTTACTTAAGGGAATAAGCATAAATAATAACAAGACCTTTCAGCTATTGAGCACCTACTAAGTGCTAAGGACTGCCACATGCTAGGCAGGTACTAAGTAAATAGCCACCAAATAATGAGCAAGATGGATCTGATTATTTCA